CCATTTTCAAAGCCTATAAGACCAAAGGCCCTGCCACTTCTGACCTGGACAATTCAGCCTTTCTTGAGTACTCATTACATACCACACACAGTGAAAGGAATTAGAATATGAGGATTAATAAAGCAAAGTAATACCCCTAATGCATACCTTGGGAGAGAGAGACAGAAGAACAAAGTATAACATGGCAAGTAAAATCTACAAGATGTCAACTTCTTTCCTATTTGGTCTAATCTTACAATACAACCTGAATTCTCTTTCTGGAATACAAGTTAGATTATGTCATTCCTCTGTTGTAAAATCTCTGATGATTCAACCTCATTGCCTACAGGATAAAGTCCAAATGCTTTAATATATGCAAACACTTCATAATCTTACATAAAAGCTTCATTCTATTACTTTTCTTTCACTTCACATCCTATGACCCAGTCATGTATAAGTAACTGCTGCTGTGATAATATGAGGGGTACTTGCACAATATCTAGTGATTGTGCATCCTGCACAAGCTCTTCTTCATGTCCACAAGCAGAAATCCTGTCCTATCATCAAATCATACCTCCTCTTTGAAGCCTTTATTAACTTTCTCTGACTATAGAATCTGTTTATTTGTTTGTTTGAGACACGGTCTCACTCTGTCGCCCAGGCTGGAGTGCAGTGATGTGATCTTGGCTCACAGTATCATCAGCCTCCCAGTCTCAAGCTATCCTCCCATCTCAGCCACCCAAGTAGCTGGGACTACAGGTGCATATCACCACACTCAGCAATTTTTGTATTTTTTGTAGAAACGGGGTTTTGCCACATTGCCCATGCTGGTCTTAAACTCCTGAGCTCAAGTAATCTGCCTGCCTTGGCTCCCAAAGTACTGGGATTACAGGCATAAGGCACCACACCCAGCCTACAATCTGCTATATTACCACTTTGTCTGGCAATCTGTTTTTCTCTATCTGCCACTGGATTGTGGTATGTGTAGGGACAAAAACTACATCTTGTTTTTTCTATCCTTCCCAGAGTCTAGTATCATAGTAAATATTCAAGAAATGGTTGTTCAATGTATAATGGGGGCCAGGTGCACTGGCTCACGCCTGTAATGCCAACACTTTGGGAGCCCAAGGTGGGCGGTTTCAAGACCAGCCTGGCCAACATGGTGAAACCTGGCCTCTACTAAAATTACATAATTAGCCAGGCGTGGTGGCACACGACTGTAATCCCAGCTACTCAGGAGGCTGAGACAATAGAATCACTTGAACCTGAGAGGCGGTGGTTGCAGTGAGCTGAGATTGTGCCATTACACTCCAGCCTGGGCAAAAAGAGTGAAACTCCATCTCAAAAAAAAAAGAAAAAAAGATGTTTAATAGGGTGGAAACATTTGCAGAAAACCAAAATGCACTATCTTTTTTTTTTTTTTTGCTCTCTGTTTAGAATCCATAGGTCTACTACCTACCACCACCCCCACATAAACCTGGAGCCCAAAGCAAAGTATGCTTTATTTTTCCCCCTCTTCCTATTTATCAGCTTTTTATCCTTCCATCTCACAAATAACAGTAAAGAATACAGCAAGAGTCCCTGCCCTCTAAGGGGTTTATATTCAAGTAAGGAGAGATAATTAATAGGGATCCATATATATTGTCATTTCAGATAGTGATAAATGCAATGAATAAAATAAAGCAGTTTGATGAGACAGAATATGCTAGAGGAGAAACATGTTATTTTAAATAGGAATAGGTAAGAAGGGACAGAATATTTCTCTGAGAAGATAAGACATAAACTGAGGCCTAAAGGATGAGAAACAACCCACTGTGCAAAATTTTAGGGAAAGAATTCTGCAAAGAAGGAATTGCAAGTGTAAAGGCTCTGAAGCAGAAATGCATATGGTTGGTTAGTTGTGGCAGCTCACATCTGTAATCCCAACAGTTTGGGAGGCCAAGGCAGGAGAATCACTGGAGGCTAGAAGTTTAAGACCAGCCTTTTAGACTCCATCTCTACAAAACATTAAAAAAAAAAATTAGCTGGGTGTGTTCTTATGCACCAGCTATTAAGGAGGCTGAACTGGGAGTCAAGTCTAAGAGTTGGGAGGCTACAGTGAGCTATGACCATACCACTCCTGTCTCAAAAAAAAAAAAAGAAGAAAGAAGAAAGAAGGTGGAGGAGGGGGAGGGGGAAGGGGGAGGAGGAGGAGGTGGAGGAGAAGGAGGAGGAAAGAAGAAGAAAGAAGAAGAGGAAGAGGACGAAGAAGAAAAAGAAGAAGAAGAAGAAGAAGAAGAAAAAACAGAAATACACTTGGCTGTTTAAGAGACAGTGTTGCTAGGAAAGGAAATTAGTTTGGAGAAGCAGGGCCTTCTAGGTGGTAGCCATGACGGAAGCCTGACTGCACCTGCCCTGACTTTGGAATTTTATAGTTTACAATCTTCTCCATGCTAATATTAGAGCAAGAAAATGATGGAATGGGGTACACAGCCCACTCTTGGGAAGATGCCAAATGATTCTGAAAGTATCTTTTCTAGATACAAGGTCATAACAGTATGGTCCCAGGGCTAATGAAAACCTGATGAGCAGAGAAGAGTAAAAGCACCTGAAAAGAAAGACAAGTTCTTTCTATTGACTAAGGGCAAGTCCAAAAAAGAAATATTAAAATTATCTCAGATTCAAAGAGGAAACAAAACACAATACTACTCTGAAAAATATATATGGGCTGTAAATTTATATTTTTAACTGAATGAATTTTTCTATTCCCATGTAAACTTAAAATACAAATCTAGACTTAAGTGATTAAACAGATTTCCACTTTTCATTCACCAAGGTTTTTCTTCACTTTCACAGAAATGAAACAATTGTCTGATGTTTTGAGAATTCAAAGATTTAGATGCATTAGAAACTGCCTCTTAGCAATCATTATGCATCTTGCACAAGCTAGATGCATTATTTTTTTTTTGCTCTCTGTTTAGAATCCATAGGTCTACTACCTACCATTTTGTGGTAGGTAGGTTTATATCATAATTATTTAAAGCAAGTACTACTGTGATGTTAAAACAAAGTCAATAGATGACATAAAGGAATTTTCACAAAACTATACGTTAAAGCAACTCTGTAATTGCTAGAAAATAAAGCAATGTCGAATTACACATCTTACTCCTATTCTATGTAGTATCTGCTGGCTTTGCTAACCCGAACACAATTCTAACTATAAAGATCCTTTCATTATCCCAATTAAGTCCTGAATTTCCAGGTTGCTAGCCTTCTAACAGAAAAAACAAATCCATTCTCATCACTCTTAAATTCAAATGGTCTCTCGCTAGCGTAGTGATGTTTCTCCAAGGCTCTCTATGGGGGATCAGATCAGATCTGGACAACATGACAAGGGCCTGTCTCCCCAAAAATACAAAAAAACATAAGCTGGGCATAGTGGCACACACCTGTAGTCCCAGCTACTCGGGAGGCTGAGGCACAAGAATCACTTGAACCCAGGAAGCGGAGGTTGCAGTGAGTTGAGATCGCACCAGTGCACTCCAGCCTGGGCATTAGAGCAACACTTCATCTCAAAAAAAAAAAAAAAAAAAAAAGAAGTAACAGAGATAATAAACATAATTACATTATGTTCCCACCCACAAGGGCCAAAGTTTCTTACAATGAGTCTTCATATTAATCCACAGTCTCAAGAGCTATGAAGAAAATGAAAATACTTTGGCCTAAAAGATGACCTTTTCACATTCTCCAATCTAATCTCCAACTTCATACATTTATAAGGCATTTCATTTTCTCTAACCCATTCACCAAGGGAGGGCCATTAACAAGTATATAAACACCCAGTGTACCTTCTTCCCAATTTCACATCTTCAGACTGGTTAATTTTGTTATTTGTCGTCTCACCCATAAATTCATACTTTTCATACTTAAAATAGAAAATTCATTGCCTTTGTTGGGAAATACAGCTGCCTAACTTCTTTGAGTTCTAACTTAATTCTAATGCTGGAAACTCCAGGAAGAAATGCAAACATATTATCTATTGGAAAACTTCTCCAAACAGGATGTATTATATATCCTTGCAGACTAAGCCTGGATATTACTGAGTAAGGATTTGCTCTTTTCTTTTCAGGGGCAGAGACTGAATGAAACCAAGGCCTTATGCCCTTCTTTTTTTTTTTTTTTTTTTTTTTTTTCTTTTTGAGACAGAGTCTCGCTCTGTTGCCAGGATGGAGTGCAGTGGTGCGATCTCTCGGCTCAATGCAACCTCCACCTATCGGGTTCAAGCAATTCTTCTGCCTCAGCCTCCCAGGTAGCTGAGACTACAGGCATGTGCCACCATGCCCAGCTAATTTTTGTATTTTTAGTAGAAATGGGGTTTTACCATGTTACCCAGGATGGTCTCGATCTCTTGACCTAATGATCTGCCTGCTTCGGCCTCCCAAAGTGCTGGGATTACAGGCATAAGCCGTCATGCCCAGCCTTAAACCAAGGCCTTATGCCCTTCTTAAAGGACCAACAGCATCTGCATCACCTGGAGTTTGTAAAAATATGCTGAATTAGCCAGGTGCGGTGGCTTATGCCTATAATCCCAGCACTTGGGAGGTCAGGAGATCGCGACCATCCTGGCTCAATCCTGGCAGAAGAATCACTTGAACCCAGAGTCAGAGGTTGCAGTGAGCTGAGATCATGCCACTGCACTCAAGCCTGGGTGACAGAGTGAGACTCTTCTCAAAAAAAAAAAAAAAAAATGCGAATTTAGGGCTCCACCTCAGACCTCCTAAATCAGAGTCTGTTTTTTATTAGTGTCTGTATACAACTCTATGCTCATCAGAAAATCTCAGAACTGGTAAAAAATTTAAAAGCGTGGAAAACAATTATAATTGATAATGACTATAGTCCCTCTTCACAAATTATTTCTTATAACAACAGGTTCTACTTAACAAAAATTTCTTGTAAAACTATAAATGGCTTGTTTTGAAACACACCAAAGCTTATTATAGGTATTGTTGTTAGTGGAAGTCACTGACATAACCAATTCTTACCTAATCTGAGCTCTCCGAAGTTCCCACACCCTATCTTCTTGCCAACCCTGAAGTTGGGTCCCACCATAAGAACCCCAGAGGATGATGAGGAGCCAGATGGTCGAGAGCAGTGTGCACTCCTTTGTGCCATGGGTTTAGTTGTCCGTTGTCTTTCATCCTTTTCCCTACTGGGATGGTCCATGATCCTACAGGACACAATCTCCGTACAACAAGTAGCTTCAGTGTGTATACTTCTCTTCAATACAAAAGTATGTCCAAATAAATCGTAGTCAGAGAAAGGTAAGGAGTTCTTTTAGCACCATATTTGTTTCTAATGTATCTCCAGGAGATGAAAAAACATTGATTAGTTCCTGTAGGAAATGTAGTCAGTAGGTCTCAAGCTTAGGTGAACATCTTGTAACCTAGGTAAAAATCAAGAAAACATGTAGTTAAAAATTCAATTTTAAAACAAATTCAGACACTACTAATTGAATGAATCCTATCTAAAGGTGAGCAAAATGCATAGCTTCCTGAAATGGGTTTTGGTTTTCTATCCTCCAGCAGTTTAGCCATCTGGATTATTCACATAAGCTCAGAAGGCTGCAAACCATAGAAGCTGGATTATTCACATAAGCTCAGCAGGCTGCAAACCAAAGAAGCTGAGGAAACACACAAGCCTTTAATATAAATTGCTTTCTTCTAGTAATGTACATATGACCAAACAGAATCACAGTTGGTTTTTTCATCACTGGCTAACAGAAATATACAGCAGTGTTGAAACCAAGTTAAACAAACTGAGGACGATTTAATTTAAAGCTCTTCCCTTTAATTTTGCCAGAACTTAAAAGAAATGAGACTATTCACTGCCCCATTTCCCTTTCCCTACCATTTACCAAGCACTGGCAAGAATTATGTAATCTACAGTTACCAATTAACACAGACAACCTCTATGAAGGAATTTCCAAAACTCTATTGGTCCTAAGCAGTCCTAAAGTTCTGAAAAGCTGAACTTTAGGTGGTTTTTGCTGTATACTGAATGTGCAGTGACAGAGTGCCTGAGGAGATCCACTGCAGAACCCCAAAGTGAAAATAAAGCCAAAACCCAAAAAATCTTAAACATGACATTCATTTCTACCAGCATTCAGCAGTGTCCAAATTCAGAACTGAGCCTAACACAATTGTTTGCAAGGGGATAATTTTGTCGCTATATTTGATAAACCATGTGAGTATTCTTAACAAAAAAAAAAATACTGTTATCACCAATCACATACTAAACACACACTTATATTTCACTATCATAAATATTTTCCTTAAAAATGGAAGAGAATTAGAACAAATACATGGTTATCACCACCAATTATACAACAAAGATGTCTATACTCTAAACTTCCTGAGGACACCTGTAATTCCCTACTACAAGTAAAAAACTGTGAGCAGCCAGGTGCGGTGGCTCATGCCTGTAATCCCAGCACTTTGGGAGGCCGAGGCGGGTAGATCACAAGACCAGGAGTTCAACACCAGCCTGGCCAAGATGGTCTCTACTGAAAAAAAAAAAAAATTAGCCAGATGTGGTGGCAGGCACCTGTAATCCCAGATACTGGGAAGGCTGAGGCAGGGAACTGCTTGAACCCGGGAGGAAGAGGTTGCAGTGAGCAGAGATAGTGCCACTGTACTCCAGCCTGGGCAACAGAGCAAGACTCCATCTCAAAAAAAAAAAAAGCTGTGAGCCAACTGTTCAAGTGGGTACATAATCCAATAATATAATCTGTTTGCTTGCTTTATTTATTTATTTATTTGACAGCGTTTCACTCTTGTTGCCTAGGCTGGAGTACAATGACGCAATTTCAGCTCACTGCAACCTCTGCCTCCCAGGTTCAAATGATTCTCCTGCCTCAGCACCCCAAGCAGCTGGGATTACAGGTGTCTGCCATCACACTTGGCCAATTTTTTGTATTTTTAGTAGAGATGGGTTTCACCATATTGGCCAGGCTGGTCTCAAACTCCTGACCTCAGGTGATCCACCTGCCT